CAGCCGGGCTAGCCCGGTCAGTTCATTTTACCTGTTTATAAATAAAGTAGTTGAATATCATTAGTTGATCAGAACGGACGTATACAGAGCCTTGAGTTTTGGCTAGAGATTTAGTTAGAGAGAATCTCATTAGACTTTGAGTTAAGTAATCGTTAGAGAAGTAGCGTCTAGATTTGTTACAGATAAACCAGATCCAGCTAAACCAATTTTATTTTTTCGCGGACACTCCAATTGTGAGTTTAGAGTTTCATTCTCATTAAATTCTAATCCATTGATGGTAATCCTATGTGAAAAAATATATATTCTTAGTATTTCTTTGTGTTAGCCAAAAAAATTAAAATCATAAAATTATAAAATTTGTTGTTAAAAAGGACATTACTTTACGGGCAAAAGCAGATACAACATTGTTGATCATAAATCCAATTTCACCCCCGCCCCTACCTCCATAAGTCGTCTTTACCAAAACCTCTCTCAGAGCAACTTCAAACCAAAGCAAGTCTTAGTTCAATTTATCTGAACTCTCCGACAAAAGAAACAACTAACAGTGAAACGTTTTACAAAGTGAAAGATCAAATTCATAAATAACTTTGTAATCCATTGTAAATTCCACTTAAACAACCAGGTTTATATTTACAAATGTTTTCAACTATCCCATCAAACCCTCAGATCCTTGATTACTCCTTATATCACTTGTAAGATATACTACTAAATATTCAACTACATCTATACATTGTCATTAATTTTACTATACCTGCATTTTATTGCAGGTTTGAAATATATCAGTTTACATGTATGTTTTTAACTACTGTGTCCGAGTTGAGGAGATTAGTCAACAATTCAACAAGTCAAACTATCAATTAATCAACCAGACTATTAGTCTAATATCACCGACACCTGCATACTGTTTTACAAACGTAGATACATATTTACATTTTCAGGAAAAAATTGGTTATATTTTTCTTTTATGTTGTATTTCAGCCTAATGTTTCTCCGCATGCATCTAATTAAATATTAAAATGTGTTAAAGAATTAGATTATTCACATTATTCAATTGAATTATTACTTACTAGAAGATCCCTGCCATGTCCGTTTATCTAGATCTAGTTCCTTAAAATCCACGTGGAAATTCAGAGTTCGCTGATTATACCGCTCATACGAAAACTTTCCACTAAGCAACATTCAAGATGGCGGAGGGGTGGTGGAGTCAGCTGTATAAGATGGCTAGTTCAATATCCCGACAGGGGGTCTCGCTATATTTATCTATATCAGTAGTATAAAGTATAAAATATTCATAATTCATGTGTTTTAAAAACTTTTAAAAAAATGTTATTTGGGAAAATGGATATTGTGATCAATGCCTGATCTTGATCTTTCGATAATCTGCAGATTGATTTAATCTTTATTCGATGTCCGCGTGAAATTGCACCTTGAAGATCAATAACTAAAATGTAGAAATCAAGCAATGGTCCTCAAGTTAAAAGTGGATATCGAGATCAGGTGATCAGGATTATGAGTATCTACTGCATAAGTTCCCAGCTCAGAATAATGAAAAAAATATATAAATTCTTATAAAAAAATACAATTTGTGCCATTATTAGAAAATGGTAGGTCGGTTTTCTTTATATTAGATGCGTTGCAAAATTGTGTGAATTTCAAACAAAACCCCAGATTTTGAATCATTTATGAATCTTCAACATTAAGAGTTTTATTTAATCTATAATTTGATTTTTAACAGTATGGAAGTATGGAAGCTAAACTTTCTTTATTTCTTTATATTAAATCGAGTGAAACCGCAAGGAGGAGAATATTAAACTAAAATATTTTAATTTATATTTAAAACTCTTTTCTCGGTGAAGAAAGATTTCTAATGTACGAAAACATTAATTTCAAGTTGAGGTCATTTAAAACCATTTAAAGTGACTGTAGCGGTATTTCAAGTGACCCTCCATTTAAAGGGACTGTAGAGTTATTTCAAGTGGACCTCCATTTAAAGGGACTGTAGCGTTATTTCAAGTGAACCTCCATTTAAAGGCACTGTATCGTTATTTCAATTGACCCTCCATTTACAGGTATTGTAGCGTTTTTTTTAAAGTGAACCTCCATTTAAAGGTGCTGTAGCGTTATTTCAAGTGAACCTCCATTTAAAGGGACTATAGCGTTTTTTCAAGTGAACCTCCAATTAAAGGGACTGTAGCGTTGTTTCAAGTGAACCTCCATTTAAAGGGAATGTAGACGTTATTTCAAGTGACCCTTCATTTAAAGACTTGCATGTCCGCTTTCCTGTAAACCTTCATTTGAGCAAAAATGATAAAAGTTATCCTTGCATTTCTATCTAAAAAATAATAATTTCTAGTTGTGGTGTCTTGAAAAAATGTCTGCAAACCCTTGAAGAAAATAGTATTTTATAAAAATAATGAATGTTTTATAGTTTCCTTAGTTTCATCTTGTCTTCCTCATATCCATCTAAACAATATTATACAGTGAGAACCAGATTTACATAGAATATTATACATTGAGAACCAGATTTACATAAAATATTATAAAGTGAGAACCAGATTTACATAGAATAAGAAGACGACTTTACAGCAATACTTAAGTGTATGATCATTCGATGTTGTTTCAAAGCAAATGGTTTTCATACTAAATACTTAATAAATCTCTTATTAGTGTGAAAGGATTCTGTTTACACTGCACAATTGCTGTGTCTCATACTCATTGGAATATTTAAAGTCATAATTCGAGTCTAAAAGTCGTCTTCCTATTTCTGAGTTTACATTCGTATTTATTTTTAAATATTTAATTATTTAATTCTAATTATAAAGAGGAGTTTACAGAAAGGTTTAATAATTAGCTATCGTGCACTGCACAATGTTCAGTGATTGTCAATATCGTTTTAATATACATTTTTTCATCTTTTGATATTCTCGCTATACCAACTAGATATTATGGCAAATTACAATGACGATGACAAAGAAAAAATATTCAGGTATTCTTGTCAAAGCTGCTGGCCTGCTAGCAGTTGGGATTATGAAGAAGAGAGAAAAATAATTGATGAGACACAACGATTGTGAAGTGTGTTCAGCACATTTTCTCTGATCTGTGACTGTAAGCTATAAACTGTGTATCACCATCTTGAATACGTCTTTAAATACTGCTTTAATGTCGAGTTCCTATTCCACAGTTTTCCTTTCTTAACTAAAGATAATTTTACCAAGGATGAGGTTTTTTTCTTTAATGTCCTTTATGAAGTGCAACAGAAGAAATATCTTGTCAAGTAAGAATGTATTCTGGAAGAAGAAGTAAAATGTTAGAAGATTAATTAAAGAAACTAAGTTACCTAAACAGCAGGAGAAGATTATTTAGAGAAACTATGTTACTTAAACAGCAGGAGAAGATTAATTAGAGAAACTATGTTACTTAAGCAGAAGGAGAAGATTATTTAGATAAACTATGTTACTTAAACAGCAGGAGAAGATTATTTAGAGAAACTATGTTACTTAAACAGCAGGAGAAGATTAATTAAAGAAACTAAGTTACTTAAACAGCAGGAGAAGATTAATTAAAGAAACTAAGCTACTTAAACAGAAGGAGAAGATTAAGAAGATTGTCTTTATAATATACAAGTTAATAAATTGTCTTTATAATTGCAGAAACTAGAGGGAATTCTTTTAATCATTAAAATTGAGTTCTTAAACCTTCTTTCAACCCCTAAACGGGCAGGGGGGGGGGGGGGGGGGGAACGGGTGCATTTATCAAATCACTAACTAAGTGAAATGGGTCTGATCAATTGATGTGTCAAATGTTCTTGGACTAGTTCAAGTCATATCTTGAGTCTTAAAGTCGTCTTTCTGTTTTAGAGTTTTCTGGTGATCACTGTATAAATAGAAATATAAGATTTCAATTTAACATTGATTGTTTCCTTATATATTTCTATCATGTATTCAAGTTATGAGTGAAAAAGGGAAAGGGAAATTAATTTTAAGATTTTGTTTTTTTTAAATTATGTCTTTTGTAGGCGACTAAATCAGTACAATTAAGACGACTTTTTTTCAAGTTTTAATGGTTTATAAGCTTATTCTTTGTTTCTTTGTTTATGTGTATCAATGCTGTTTTAAAGCTTGATGAAAAATAAAAATTTAAATCTAAAGTTGCCATTATTGTATTGATATATACGACGTATGTGTTGTGTATTTCACATTAAAGATTTATTTCTGGATAAAAAAAATATTGCCGGCATTTCTTTGAAGCAAAATACAAAAAAAAAATTGTTTCAAAGGACTGTAAACGTAAATTCAAGTGATAGATTGGCTTGTCTGATTCACAACGATACCCTCAGAAACTTTGCCTGATCAATAAGATATCTAAATTTATGTTTTTGAAAACTGATTATTTTCATTTATAGCTTCACTAAAAAAGTGACCGGCGCATTTCTTGTTCAAGACAGAATGGATAAGTTAACAGATATAAATAGTTTGAAGCTGGAATAACGACGATGTCTCCAATATTGATGATCAGATAAAGGTTTAAAGGGTACCGTTGTGAATTAAAATAACAGTCCCATTAAGGAGTTTGGATTCCCTATTTGTTAAAATTTGAACAGAATTCCTTTCACCGGATTAGAAATTTAAAAGCTGGAGTTTAAAAGGATCTTCTGTAGAGTATGGATTAGTGTCTTAAAGGATTTCATGTTTTTGTCACTTTTTACAAGAGGTTTAACGCGGGATAAGAAATTTGAGAAAAACTTGAAGTGTTACACCTGGTTCAAATAAGTATTTCGCTCATTAGATCCAATAATTTTATAATTCTAAGACTCGGCACCGCTGAAATTTGTCTGCAGTCGCTAATAAGGATGTCAAAAAATTTCGAATTTTTTATAAATTCAAAAGTCCTTTTAAAGTCGAGCATAAAAACTTTTTAATATGTTTGTATTTTGAAATTTTGATTGACTGACTGATTTTGTTGCTTGTACATGATTGGTCATTAATTAACTGAATCATTAATTAACTAATTGATGGACTGGTATTTATTGATTGATTGATTGAATGGATGATCAATTGATAGGATGATTGATTGATAAATATAATTATTGATTAGTTGTAGTGTAGATTAGTTATTGATTAATTAACTGATCGATTGATTAATTGATCATTTGGTTAATACAAAGAATTGATTGATTGTTTAAAAAATTAGTTGATTGATTGATTAATGGATAGATTGATTGATTGATTACTTACAACTTGAAAGTTTAAAGAAACAGCTGTGTTTGTCCATAGGATACTGTAGAAACACCATTCCCTTGCACACTATAGTGATATCACTCCTAAATATGTATATATATATATATATATATATATCTCATAACTCTGTTTTTAAAGTAATAATCTCTCTTTTTCTGTCTCTGAGATAGATTAGATTCTTTAAGAATCTATAAAGAAAGTCGCAGGAAAAACATGTCTTGCAAAAAAACCTGGAAATAAAATCTTTGGTAAAAAAGTCCTATGACAAAATGTCATTGGAAATAAAGTCCAGAATTTCAGACTTTTCCCGAAAACAAAAGGGGGGCTGCCAATAAAGTCTCAGGAATATAAGTCCTGAAAAATATGTACAAAGAAAAAAAAGCTAGAAAAAAGTCTTTAATTCCAGAGACTTTTCATCAAAAGGACTTTTTTTCCACAGGATTTTTTATTTCCAAAATTGTGTGCCAATATTTCCGAAATTGTGTGCCAATATTTCCGAAAACTTTTTTGGTTGTTACTTTTCCAAATGTAGTGATTGCTAAGACTTTTGTAGTTAATAAAGCAAGAAACATCTAATCAATTCTTTTTACAAAGGTGTTCTCTCAGAAATGCCGCATTTTTTAACTGATGAAATGTTCAGAGCAGGGGCGTATACAAGACTTTATCTGTCCAATAGTCCGATATACTATAAGAATGCAACTGTATAAAATATTGAGGAATTTAATATCTTCAATTAAATGATAAATATTTCTATAGCAAACATGTTTCAGGAATGCGCATTGTTCCAATGAAAACCTTTGTAGAGATGAAAAACATTTTCTTTGTGTGCAAAAATAATATTATTGTTGAAGAAATAAAAAAAAAATCTATAATTAAGGAATTTGAAAATTAGAACTCGTCGTAGCTAAAAAAAAATCTGACATTATAGTTTTTCCAAAAAGATTGTTGTTGTAGGAAAAAAGAAAATTTCAGATTAATTTTGTCAGAAAAATATACTTACAAAATTGTTGGTTTTGAAAATTAATTCGTTTTGTACTTTGAGAACATAAAAAACCCGGGTGGACCAAGGTCGCAAATTTTAGAGACTATTTGTGACTAGTAGTCAGTATTATTTAAGCGCCTTGAGACACTTATCATTCATCAAGAGGATCACGACTAAATACAACTGAAAAGCCCATTTTTAGTCAGTGCTCAGAACGGAAAAGGTGTGGGGTTACAAGTTCAATATCCCGACAGGGGGTCGCCTTTCTGTTTTAGAGTTTTCTGGTGATCACTGTATAAATAGAAATATAAGATTTCAATTTAACATTGATTGTTTCCTTATATATTTCTATCATGTTAGTTCTTTTCCCTTATGTCCATTTGACAGCCCAAATTTTTATTTTGAATAATCTTTTTGTTTGTTTATCTTCTTGTGATTTTTACATTATTTTATTTTTTTATCGATTTTGATGGTTATCATATCGTTAGAACTGACGAGGGTCAACCCAGACCGAAATATATTTTCAATAAATGTGGAACTAACATCTACTTTTTTACTCTACAGAGGTTTGGTCCATCACCATCACCGAATTTTAGATTTAGATTTACACAAGGAAAATTTCGAAAATTTAAAGTTTACATAAATATATTATTTTAATATTATGTTAATTTTATAATTTAGCCAATTTCAATACTACAAAAATAGATAATTTTATATGTCGTCCTCTAATATGAGAAACCAAACCAAATATATTTAACACATTTACCTCACATGTAATATTTTCAGACCTCAACATATATAGAGATTAACCAAATTGTTTAACTATGATACAACCCTTCCTTCCACACCCAGAATTCTGACCTTTGTACACAATCAATGCAAGTGTTTAAAACACCACCACTAGGTCTGACGAACCCGCCAGCACACCGAAAGCACTAATCTTGAAATTTGAGATAGGATTTTTTTATTTTATCTCTTTTTGCAATACAGCTTTGTTTTTACCAAGTGTAAATAAATGTGTTTTTGCAAATGTGAGAGAAGCTTTTCAGGTTTAATGTAGTTATCAAATTTTACATTAAATTTTCAGTTCTTCCTTCATTTTAGCTGAGATTATATTTATTTTTCTAAGTTAAACGTTAAATTATTTAATTGTATTTAAGACTGTAGAGATAATTAAAGGTATATTGTTCTTGATTAAGCTCTGTAGAGACGGTTAATTAATCATCTCATGGGACCTAGATCTGTTAGAAGCTTAATTAAGATTTCCACACTTTTCATCTTAGATTATATTTAAATAAACTTGGTAAAAACAAGAATTCAAATTATTTTAAAAAGACCCTTAAAGTGAAATGCATAATGTACAAGTACAACAGCACCTTTTACACTCTGCCTCATCCAGGATGGACGAGCTATCTCTATTATTCTAGTCGATAATTTCCTGATTTTAAAATTGTGATTTCTTAACAGTTTATACCGTCTAGGATCATGCAACTTTAAGATTGGGGTGAACCTAAAATTACGTATACATTCCCTTTAATACATGTTTAGTATAGTGTGCTATAGCAATTACTTTAAGGACTATTATTAATATTCGCTATTTCGTATTTTGTCCAATTGTTAAAACTGAAACCCACATGTTTAGCAATATATTTTTTTTAAGCTAACCAAGTCTTTTTTTTTAAAGTTTTTTTTGTTTTGTCACATATTAACTTGCAATTTAAAAAGTAAAATCATGAATTTGTTTAACTGAACTCTATAGTAAGATTAAAATGTGAGAATTATTCAACTCTAAAACTCTTGTGTCGTAATTTTCTCCGTTTATTGAGAACTATAAACCTGGAATTGTTTCTATTTCTTAAAAATGAAATTTCCGCCGTATAAAGATCTCTTATCTTGACAACTACATGGTCTGTGACTCAACAGTATTTACCATACAGGGTTTACCACAAAGAATGCGACTTCAGAGACGACTGTACGGAATTGATATGGTCTGTTTCTTTACATTAATGGTTCTCTGAAACTTTTAACTATTTTCTTTCTTAACGAAATCATAAAAAAAGACATTACAAGACTATCTTCAAGGCAATGTTATATAAAAAGAGTTTCATGTCGTCTTTACAGTCTCTTCCTATGTGAGTAACTCTGTACTAATGGTAGTTAAAATCAAAAAGTAATTTCACTTTAAAGAAAATATTCAATTTTCAAAATGTGTTGTGCTATTTTTGGGCATGGGACGTAACGGTGCGAGGGGGAATAGACAAGCTCCTAAGATTTTCTCAAATGACTTAAAATTCTCCTTTTTTCAACAATTTTCAATTAAATTAGTATTTATTTAGGGTTAGGTTAGGCTAAGAGACTTTCTGGGCACCCCCCCCCCCCTCCGCACCGCCACGTCCCATGCCCCATTATGCATCTTCAAAAATAAACAAGGAAAAATTAATAATTGTCGAAATACCTACAAACCCCGCCAATTTTTAGGATATAAAATGATGGATCACATTTAGGAATGCGCTGAATAAAACTTTAAGCGTTACTAATGCTAGGGTTTACATAAAAGGGTGATATTTTTTGCGCAAATTTTGCGAAAAAATTTGTATTTCCTTGTATATTGGGACACTCCACAATAAATCTTATCATTGTAATTTTAAGGTTTATAGGTCTAGACGATATTTTCATTACTGAAGAGCATGTAAATTTTACACAATACGTTTTCCTAAACTTGACAAATAGATAAGATTTTTCAACCCTTTCCCCCCTGGCTTCTAATATGTCAAAATAACATAAAACCAGGTTTTACCGAACTTTTTACCTTTTATTTTATCTTGAAACAAGATAAAATAACCCCATGAAATATGGTTAAATTTTCAAATAAAATAAATCCGTGGAACTAGATTTTAAAATTTCCAATACTCCTTTTATTGCTATGTAAATCTAGTATTTATATAAGACCCAGTATAAGCTCCATGTCTTTATATAATTTTTATGCAAAGTTTAATTGCACAGCTTTCAGGATAAACACGAAATTAAGTACTTGCTATTAAGTAAGCTTACCCCTTGTGTTGAACAAAGTACACTGTAGAGTGGCACAACATAGAGTAGCACAGCATAGAGTGGCACACACTAGATTGGTACACCGTACAGTGAGTAGTGACACACTGTAGATTGGTCCACAGTAAAATGGTACATGGTACACTGTAGATTAGAACGTAAAGCAGTAGACGGTTAAACGTAAAGTAGTAGATTGTTAAACGTAAAGTAGTAGACTGTATACACTGTAGAGTTGTACACCGTAGAGTAATGCATTGTAGAGTAGTACTTTCTAGAGTGTCGCAACATAGAGCGGCACAAAGTAAAGTAGCACACAGTAGAGAAGCACACAGTAGAGTGGCACACTGCACAGTAGAGTGGCACACCCTAGAGTCGCACACCCTAGAGTGATACAATTAGAGTAGAACACAGCAGAGTGGTACACCGTAGAGTGACACACTGTGAGTGGTTCACACAAGAGAGTCGCACCATAGAGTGGACCACAGTAAAATGGTACACTGTAGATTGGAACGTATACTGTTACACTGTGGTACACTGTAGATTGGAATGTACACTGCTACACTGTGGTACACCCTAGAGTGGTACATAATAAAGTGGTATGCTGTGAATTGGTACATCATAGAGCGGTATGCCGCATAGTATTACATTACGATCAAAAAGCGTATTCATTTTATAAAAAAATGTATAAACTTATGAATCAAGCTTGTCACAGTAAAAAGTACTTTTCACGACAAAAAGGGGTGCAAAGCATCTTAAATGCGTTTTACCTGACTTTGTAGTAAATAGAATGATCACTGACAATCTCTAGAGCTGCCACCTCATTAAGTACTTCAGGTTTAGTAAATCTAAACAGTAAACATGTTTAATGTAATTAATTTGCACAAATGTAAAATGTTGTAAATGTTTCCTCCAAATGTGTCATTTTTCAACCTTTTTCTAGATATGAATGACACTGTTTACGCGTGGTATATGATATATAATACATCAGATATCAAGGAATAGAGTGCTATATCAATAGTAATACATTTAGAATTTCCCAGTCTATAAATTTCTCACTAGACCAAGCTTTCTTGTAAACCAAATAGTTTGATAGATTTTACTCTTAGGAAGAATGATAATGCTATATTTATTTTTGTATACCTATCCCCCTAAAAATAAGCCAGAAATATCACAGGACACAGACCTATACCATCAGGTTGCAAGGATACAAAGATGACAAAATTTAATGAATTTTAAATTGTATAGTTAAATAAGTTTGCTTTTTTCATATTTGTGCATAGAATATTTGTAAATAAATACCTGATAAGGTCATGTATAATAATGTCCGGCGTCCAAAAATGTTTGATCAGATCTGGTCTCACGTTGATTTCTCCTCTACTCCAGTCAGCACTGTCATTCAGTATCATCCTGTACACAGAGGTTACAGAGTACATTTTGTACAAATAGGTTACAGAGTACATTTTATAGAAAAAGTTTATAGAGTACATTCTTTATAAATACAGGTTACAGAGTATATACTGCAGAATAAAAACATACAGAAAATATCAGAATTAAGAACTTTAAACCTTAGAAAAACGTCAGTATTTTTTGCATTATTAATCAGACAACATTTTTAAGGGTACCATCGTGAATCAGGCATTAAAATCTTTGCAAGGAGGCCGCCACTTGAAATTACTTTCAGTACCTTTAGGAAGTCAAAAAAAAAAGTTAAAAACATGTCGTCAAGAATTGTGTATTTCAAATCTATTGAGAAACATAAAACTGTGGAATGAATGTTGTCTTTGCTCGTCTGTTTATTTTAGAAATGTTGCTAAGGATTTTAGAATGTTCACTGATTTGCAACTTTTATATTTCTGAAAACAATTAAGGCATGCTTAATATAGTTCAGTTGCAAATTTTGCAATCTTTAGATACATTTTATAATCTTTTAACTTTAATAATTTATTTTAATTAAATTTTACAATATCCTTAAATAGTTATATAATATCAAATGGAAATATTTTGAGATTTCTATTTTTCTTGTTCTTCATTTTCTTATATTTATCTAATTTTGAAAATAAAAAGAAAAGATTTTTTTGGATGTCATTGTAGTTTGCCTTTTTACAAGAACTAGCTCTGGATCTTGCTTTCTTTCTCGGAACTCTATGTATAGATTTGTTTACTCTTGAATTGCATCTGACTAAGTAAAAACACAGTTTCCTAATATTTTCTTGGGGGAGGGGACAGGGGAAGGAGAGCGATCATTTAACCCTTCTTCCAAGCCCTTATCTCTAATTTCAAGAGATTTCTCTTCCACTCTTTCCTGGTCAATTTTCTTTTTTCTTCTTGCATCTTGCTTCTTCTTGTTTCTACACTTTGAGGTCTCTCCAAATACTTATTTTGACATCAAGTTGTGAAGCAGGTATAGGAGGGAAATAAGGAGGTTTGTAGGAGGAAGGGTATAGGGGATTTCTCCATGTGTTCCTTCTATTGTACTCTTTCCGAGTTAAGGGGCATTAAGAAAACCCATAACTGCACCCCTTATGATAATAAATATGCATTTTATTTGATTTGTGGAATTATTGTCTGAAGACAAAAACTCTGTATTTAAGCTGCATGCAATGTCCAGTACAAATTTATTTACCATAATAATAAAATGTTTAGTCAATAAAAAGACCTTTTAGTGTAATTTCATGCAAAGACAGTACGGCTGAATGAATATACAGTATATGTGTTGTACCGGCAAGAATCATGCAACTTTTAAACTGGGGTGCAAGCTGTTTTACCTTTTACAAATATTAACATTAACTTAATAGAATTGGCAGAAACCAATACTTCTCTTTCAAGTTTCAAGCCGTGTTGAGCACACTGTACGCAGCGTACATGTGTACTTACAGGAATTCAAGTGGGTTTCAAGCGATTTAAACACACTTTATGAATTGTCATAGGTTTAAAGGATATTGTTGTAAATCGGGCATTGCCCTAATTGCACAGAGGGTCACAGTTCCTTTAATATGTCTGTGACCACTCTAAAGTTTCTATCTTCGAATTGAAGAAGGATTTCCGGAACATTTGAAGAAAAATGGATTTTCTCAGCTGTAATATAAATCCACCGGGAGTAAAGACAATTATCTGAATTCGGGCTTTTTTTCAAGCCTCAAGCCAAGGACAAGGGATAGATAGATGAAGTAAAGAAATTGAGTCATTACCACAAACTCAAATTTTCTAATCTCTATATCTTTACAACCTGATATATTTCAATTATTTGATCTAACAGAATTGATAGTTTAAAATATCTAAGGTCTACAACAAATTATGTTTCAAGGATAAAGGAATTAGAAAATCAGAGTTTGTGGCAAGGACTCTATTCCATTTTCACGTTAAATGTATATCATATCACACATGTTTTCAATGTTAATTTCTCTTTTATTGGCAAGTTTTTAAACAAGACAAACGTGTTTTAAATTTCTAATACTGTCGCACGGTGGTCAGCATCATATATCAATACAAAATCTGAAATGATGATATAAAGAGGCTTACATGTAATAAATATAGTAATAACCCCCATATCTTGGAAACCTGAACCTACCTGTATATAAATTACGCTATAATCACCTGACCGTATTATCGGTCAGGTTAATCTTTATCTCTACCTTATACTCAAATATAGTTAGTTGGATATGAACTCTGATTAGAAGTATTAGTTCTCATTAGAGAAAATAGATTATGAAGTATCAGAGTTAGGAATTTATTAGATACATATGTGGTAAATGCCGTACTCTGAAAAGTTTGCCACAATCTGTATCAGTCCAGGTACAATCCGTCTGCTATGAATATCAAACAGGACAAGATCAACACGGCTACAATCCCGTGAACTATCAATGCTACTACTACTATTATAAAAATCTACATTTAATTGAATAAATCTGTACTTAATCAAAGTGGTGATATTGTTATATTTGTTATTACATTTTGGATTTATTAGATTTACATATCTTTGAAATTTAAAAGTAACTCTTGCAATGTATGTATACATTTTACAATATTCAAAGATATTCTTGCAAAACTCTTGATTCAATTTTTACCCAGTAATGGAAAACATGGGAATTCCAGAATATTTGGATAATTCTATTTAAACATTTATATATCTACATATATAGATTTAATATGTATACATTACAGCCATTTTATGTTGTTTTTTAGTTTCCGTACCACACACGTTTTAGACCATATTTAACATAAGAAATCTTGCGGATTTTCATGCTTTCATAATTAAATGGATTTCCCAAAAATGATTTAACTGAAATTTTTGTTTGCGTGCATTGTTTGTGACCTCCCTTTGGGTCATGAACTGAGATTTTGTCACAAACTCAAATTTACAAATTCCTATTATTAGGACCTAAATGTGAAAATATTTCAAACTTAGTTTATTTGATCTAACAGAATTCGTAGTTCGATACATTAAAGGTCTACAACATCGTGTTAGAAAATTTGAGTTTGTGGTAAAAACTAAGTTTATTTTTGCAGGATTTGATCTTATTGTTTATTTGATTTTTCAATTTTCTCAACTTTTTTATCAGTTAGCAAAGCTCGATAAATTGATATAAATAAGTATAAAACACAGATTTATGATTAGATAGATAAAGATAAACGATAGATTTTTGTTAGAATAATAATTAGATAGATAGATTATGTCAGATATCTATATTAAAACAAGACATTTATATATATATATTGCCTATAGCCGGCCAAACGGTTGGACCGATTGGGCTGAATTTTTTGGGGACACAAAGCACACCGGACTAACCAGAGTGAGCAGCATTCGGTTTCTTCTATTTGAAATCAAACGTGTTTTGGTCTTAAATTCAATAATCATTTACTTTACGGATTTGTTTATTTTATATATTTTTATTCAAAATGCATATGCCAACAAAAAAGTATTCAAGAAAAAAGATTAACAAATTATGTTTTATGGGTTAAATTGTGATCGAAAGTCACAGCTTTCTGGAATATTGACAAAACCGTTAAATCCACGTGAAAGGGGTTATAGGCTAAAAAAATCGTATTTTTTTTTACAATTTTTTTCCACGGCCAACGCTGGGCCCTTCAGCTAGTATAATATATTATTGGATAGAAAGCATATTATTATTGTTGATAAATTATTAGATAGATAATTCATTATTAGTTATAAAAGATAGATAATATATTATTGAATAAATAGATTCCATTCTTAGACAGATGGATGGATTTTTGTTACACATCACATCACATTAAGCTAACTGAAAAGTAAGTCTGAAAGATAAGTCTGCATAAAGGTAAGTCTGTAATAAATATAGCGTAATTGTAATAAATATCGTGTCACACGACACGATAAATGTAAACCTAAACTACGTTATACATTATTAATTATCAATGCTGTAACTAACTTTGTAACATTAAACATGTATTCTGATTAGCATAATAGATCCGCGCTAATCTTAAATACATTAAAACTTAAACTACGCTGTAATCATGTATTGATAGATTAACTACGTTATATCTATCCACCCATGTATTAATAGATTAACTACGTTGCATCTATCCGTGCTAATCTTGTAAATATGTATCGACGTAAAACTTGTAATTACGTCTATTATCAATGTTAACTTGTAATATAGATCTCTAAATAGAAATCTGCAGCTAGTATTGACTCGTTTTGATTACAGTGATAAGATTAATTTTGTTCTTGATGAAACATAAAGCTGAGATCGTGCCAATTGGTTTGGCATTGATCGATTAAGAGCTTGTGTCCATGTTGACATTGATAGCTGAGCTTGTTTCTGTGTTGACATTGATAGCTGACGAAAGATACCTGGATTGATACTGGTTTGAAAGAAGTTTTACGAGTACCGCATTTACTACAAGTCTGTACAAAGGTTGTACAATAAGGTTAGTTAATGTCGATGTGCTCCAATGTACGGAAAATGTCGTCTCCTAAGCCTAGATAGATAAAAACCTTATATGACTTCACTGATCATAGAGGCGGGAGTGATGTCGTATGAGGTTTTTATCTATCTATGCTTAATAGGAGACGACCTTTCTGTGCGTTGAGAGTAACCAACCTATACTATACAATCTTGGTCTGTATAATTAAACCGGAGTTTACCAAGGTATTATAGCTAGATATACCTTGAGAGTAGAGCAAAGTCAAAGATTATAAAAATAGTTCAATCAAGGTAAAGGCTGTTATACTGAGATTAGTTTTCTTAACTTGTTTTCCAATATTAGGTTGCTTTAAAATTTTTCTAAAGATGAAAATATGGTGATCTTATCAGTTCAATATATTCGAGAGTAGCCAATCCCATTTCCAATATTAAATATTATATTTTTAAATTTCAATATCTGAAAGTACTTTCAACCATCTATTTAAAGAGCTACATGTCCGATTCACAACGGAACCTAGCCTTTAAATTATTCTCTGAGCACCGAGGATCGAGAAATATATATAAATATAATTGTAAGCCAAGAACATTTTCTATTGTTTATTTAGATAGCTTATTGCTGGACAGTGGACACTGTGCTTCATGTTTGACATTCATCAGAAGCACGATTGCGGATTTTTCAAAAATACAATAGCACATTTTAACAAAATTAAATATATATAGATGTAAACATCAATATCATATCATAAAGCTTTTTGCTTATATATACATATTTATATTTGTATGTTATGTATGTTTATAAATAAATAAATATACATATTAACTTGAGCTGGATGGACCAAATTGGTCGAAGAAAAATAGGCAAAAAAATGTTTCAGAATATTATTAAATTTTTTTTTATCACATTTGATTTTTTTTGTTGCCTATAGTCCAAAGCAAGCAAAACTTTTGTAAAGGTTGTTCGATAAGCCCTAATTTTTAATATATATTTTACTTGTATATAATATAATCTATATAAAGTAGTAATCTCGTTTGTTTATGTTTGTATGTGTCTGATCATAACTCTGGAACCCCTTGACCGATTTTCATGAAGTTTTGATTGGGAATTGAATTAGAAAACATAAAAAGTCTTATTTTGAAAATTGTGTTCATTTCATTCTTCTTTCCAGCATCACTTAAATCCGAAAGTCATTTATGGAGAAATTAGAATTGTGAATTATAACGTTTCAGATGGAAAACTAAATTCCCTTTAATGCTTATGTTTTTTTTGTTGGAATTCTTTTGTTTTCTAATAAAAAACTTTTAAATAATAAAATTCTAAAATGTCTGAGTAAAAATTCTTAGAATTCTGCTATGTGTGTTTAAGGATAAAAGCAGTTTGTTGAAAGCAAGATGAATGATTTTTCTTAATTTATTTTCATATTAAAAAGGAACTGAGTTTCTGCTCAAAAACTCTGATTTTTTATTCCTTATATATTTGCAACACCTTTTATACTTCAAATAAAACTGGGAGGTTGCAATGATATCGGGATTAAAAATTTCAGTTTATGCCAAAAATTCAATTTCTTTAAATAAAGAATTATTTCTTTAATTACACTTTTTGAGCAACTTTTAATTTTTAACTAAGATAAATTTCAAAACTTGCAAATAAGTATAAGATTTGCAGTCTTTTGTAAAACCCAGATTTGCTGAATTGATCGAAGAATAAATTATATACAAGTGATTGATATAATAATTACCTATGCTCTGGCCATCTGATTTTGTAGGCTAGCCTCAGCGTAATTTGCTAAAAAAAAAACTTAAAAATAGATAAAACTAAAAATTTAAAAGTGTTCTTTTGTTTAAATATAATTCGGAAATATATGTATAAATTTTGGAATAGTTTAGAAAAATTCAATTTTTAAAAACTAGAAATAGCCAAACTGAGGAAAATTTAGAAATGAATAGTAATAAAACAATTTTACAAAACAAATCATCAGAAGTGATCCATCAAAAACGATTTTTCAAAAATGATTTAGAAATGATGGAAATGGAAAAAAAAAACATTCATACCGATCTTTTGTCATCTATCTGACTGATTTCTGTCACAGGAAGTTTGAAAAACACGTTTAGCGGTCCAGTTGCTGAAAAAGGATAATTAATAGGCAAAAGAGAAAAAAATTCACGGGACATTTGGATGGTTTAGAATTAACAAAACTTAAATATATTTGGATGGTTTAAAATTAACAAAACTTTAATATATTTGGATGGTTTAGAATTAACAAAACTTAAATATATTTGGATGGTTTAGAATTAACAAAACTTAAATATATTTGGATGGTTTAGAATTAACAAAACTTAAATATATTTGGATGGTTTAGAATTAACAAAACTTAAATATATTTGGATGGTTTAGAATTAACAAAACTTTAATATATTTAATGATTGTTTAACTTTAAATACATTAAAAATGTCCAACCCATGTTAATCATAATTAAATTGTATTATCAGAAGAATAACATCTTTTTTTAAAATAAGATTTGCTTACTATGAGGGGGGACGTCTTTTCTGTAGTTTTTTGGTAGACAAAATATATCAGAGATAAGTATACCATCCTTAGTACATTCCTCATAACCTCCAGATACTTCAGTAGATACCCTAAACATTCATTCATTAATTCATTCATTCATTCATCCTTTCTTTCATCCCTCCTTTCATTCACATATTGATTCACCTATTCATCCGAAGTATAACGCTACTCATAACATTAATTAATATTTATAGATGTATTTTTATAATTTAAATGAACACCATTAATAAAAACCCCTGTCATATATGTCCAATCCACAGTTACCAGAAATCTTACAGTAATAATATATTATTAAAGGGAGTGACCGGCTATGTAAGGTAGTTAAACTGAGTATACAGTGTTGTGGAAAAATTCTTTTGGATTCATTTGAGACATGTAAAACTTTTCCACGATGTAAAAATTCATAGAAAATTAGAAATTCAATAAAATGATGAAAACGAAATAATTGATTCTAGCATAAATTTATTGACAAATTTCTTTTGAGAAATATTTTCCTAACCATCTAATCAGTATACTGTATAATTTTTACTATATTTTTCGTCGTCGTTATTAAATAATTTAAAAAAAAAACCGATTCTGAAAACGTTCCCATCCAAATCCATTTTTAATTGTCGACTATTCACTTAAACTCAGTAATTTTCATTATTTGTAATTTGTAAAACATTTGTAAAACATTTTTTGCGAAAGTTTCTTAAATATTTTTTTTGCATTTTGCACAGTAACCTGTGGCCGAATTTAAAGAATTTGAGCGGCGGTTTAAATTTAAGCCGCGGTTTAAATATAATGGGTTACACTTAAAATTGTATTAAATGTTTCAAGATTTAAGCCGGCGCTTAATTTAAACCGGGTTTTGGCGGATTTAAACCGCGGCTCAAATTCTTTAAATTCCATCTCTGGACTGCTATGAAGTATCTATTATCTGACTAGCTATGTGGACAATTGCAACGCTTTTGCCTTTATTCTATCTCACTCATATTCTCATGCTTTTTTGTAGCCCTAAACATGTTCATTTTAGAGCTCTGAATTACTTTCTTAGTTTTCAATAAGTAATTGGCAAAATTTTCATCGATTTTTAAATGAGAGCTAGCCACCATGTTTATATTTAAAAAGTTTTCTTTAACATTATTTGTACTTATAATAAAGCTCTTCGCTCATATGTATATATATGTATATGTAACCTATAGCTGGCCAAACGACTTCACCGAATTGGCTGAAATTTTTTGAGTGAGGAAACTAAAAGAAAATCGATATTTTTTATCGAAATCCCAGGGGCAACGCCGGGCACTAAAGCTAGTAGATTATAACGATGAGTAAGATATGCTGAATTTAAAGTTTGCTTGAAAATTTTAGAATTCGGACAAGTTCGTCGAATATTCAATAAATATCTGAAATTTGTTAAAAATACTCCGAATTTTGACCACAAGTGAAGAACTGTTTGATGAAAGTTTTTAGATCTTCTGTGCTCATCCCTCAGGGATTTACAGGGTTATAAAGAGTGAGATTTCAGCGACGAAAGTGCAGAATTTAATAATTCATTTGATCTTGGTTTCCTATTTTAGGCATATTCTAAAGCGCCTTACATAAATATTCTTTGCTTGTCTGTTTGTTATTATCCAATAAATGTACGGCTGAACCAATCAGACCTAAACATTTGAGCCATTTTGAGACCTCAGGGAAAGTTATTGTATACTCAGAATTACAAAAATTGGTTTCCAACAAATTTTGATTTTTGTAAAATTTTTAAAATCTTTGAAAAAATATCATTTAATCGACGAACTTTTATTCTATTGTTTTTTATTGTACATAGAGACAATGCTCACAGATAAAGCCACAATAAAAAAATTTAAAAAGAATTGGGAGCGCATCGCCGTGAAAGCCTAGTATGAATAATTTATTCAAGTCAGAAGGAAAAACATTTCACTTTTGAATCGTGATGAGATGAGTCCATGCCACAAACTCTGATTTTAAAATCCATATATCTTTGCAGTCCAATGTTGTAGACCAAAAGAACAAATAAAAAAATAAAAGTATTTTAATTAAATATCAATTTTTGTAGGATTCCTCTTAAAGTCAAATCACATTAAAAATTAAGTTAAAAACAAGGCCTTTTTCTGACTTTTATCGGTATGGCAAATTTAAGGATAAACAGAAAAAGATAATATTTGAAAAAAGAACCTATCTTGAATAGATCTATCGGAAATAATATATATACTGTTTCTGCAACATTGACCAAACCAAATACATGAATAAACTGGATCCATATGAATTTATAAATATTTACTTTGCAGTATTTATTTAATTGTTAATCTTATAGTGTCTTGGTAGATAAAACAGAAAGGATATAAAAATGATATTCCCATGTACAGGGTGTCCCAATACGCATGGAAATTCAGTGAGACTTCTATATCGTCTTTGTTACTCGTCTTTGTTTCAATTTAATAAATTCCAACAAAATCGTTTAAATGTTTAATATCTCCGTTAATCTTAGAGATAAACAGAAAGCCGACCATAATTTGAAACGCTCATAAGCCATACTACCTTTATTACATTACATTCTTTGTCATTTATCAACAATCGGAAATCAAATACGATTTTTAAGTCGTCTCTTAATTCCCATGTTTATTGGGAAACCCTGTATTATGAAAAAACTAGGCGTGAGGTGGAAAATATAAGATCTAAACCGTGATTAGGCCCAGACCTGCCACTAGGGTTTCCAATCGGAATTCCATAGCGCGGAATTGTGCGCAATATTTGCTTCCGCTTGCGCCAGTTCATTGCGCGGAATTGCGCTATGATTGCGAAAAAGGAAGCAATTAAATATTCGCGAAATTGCGCAGAATTACGCGGAATTGCGTGCAACGGAATAACTTTGCTATGGTTTCACCATCTAAAAATCAATATTTTTGAACTAGGACTTAAACTACGTTTCGTTTTGTTAACGGAACTTTGCCTACCCCTAGTTATATTTGCCCCATTCCCTAAAATCACCCCAAGAAATACGACCACTCTATATACAAATGTACAGTGTTAGAAACGTAAACATACCGTGATGTTATTCGACATTATACTATACAACTTTTGTGCACCGGAAACCCTTTTGTTGATCTTTGTGCATTTCAATTTGTTATCAAATCAAGAAAAGCAATAATATCCAAGACTTAATGCATATATTTCATTACACAAATTAATCCCAAAGTTGAATTTGATTAAATTAAACTAAACGCTTTACACTATATGGTATACAGGTTTGGAGGGGGGGGGGGGGTTAGGGTGGTTTCAGGTATCTTTCTCCGAAAAAACGCCCGATTAACAAGGATTATTAAAATTTTCTTTTATTGGGAGTGACTTGCAATGTATGGTGGTTTTCTTAAATCATTAAATAACGACGACGAAAAATAAAGTAAAAATTATATACAGTGAATCCAAGATATTTGAAATATGAATACATACAGGGTGTCCCACGAAACATGACAGTATGCAGGACGACTTGAATGTCGTCTTGATTTTTGATATAATTTGCTGCGTTTATTTGTCAACCTAATTTTAGAAGTAAATTTCTAGAGATAATAATCACAAAATTTCCCTTGTCCTGCCATTTCCAAAATGTGGTCTGCCTTTTTTGTGCTTTCAATATTTCCCGAGATATGAAGAATTTCGTTCAGATTTCGACAATTTTGCTTTTATTTAGCAAAATTGAAATCTGAACCAAACTCTTTATATCTCAGGTAATATTGAAAGCACAAAAAACGCAGACCACTTTTTGGAAATGCCAGGGCTAGGAGAATTATGTGATAATTGTTTCAAGAATCGTACATGTTAAAGTAGATAGAAGACTAAATGTCACAAATAAATTCAAATACCAAAGACGACTTTCAAGTCGTCTTCCTATTGTCATGTTTCGTGGGACACCCTGTAGCAAGAGTTTTGTATAGTGTATAATTCTAAAGAAACTTCTTTTTATTTTTAATTCAAGGTAAATCAATAGCCCTGAAATATGAATGCAATTGATATATTAATATTAAACTCATTTTTCTTCAGCATTTGATCTTAAATATGTAATACGACATTATAAAGAACTCTTGCTATGAATTCATATATCTGGGATTCACAGTATTAAACTAATTAGATGTTTAATTTCTCTAAAAAAATTTGTCAATATCAATGTTAGAATTAATTATTTTGTTTTCATAATTTTATTAAAGTTCTTATTTTCTATGAATTTGTTCGCAGATTTCTTCAAATTCTTCAAATGTCGTCTTTTCAATAAAGAATCCAGAAAATCTTCACAAAATCTTTGTAAATAATGAGTGAGTGTAGAAACTAATAATTGATTTTCGATGATAAGCGTTAATTTTTATTTTCCCAACCTGTTCATAAACAACAAATTAGTTAACTGCAGAATTTTTGTTACATTTTTTGTCGTCATTATTTAATAATTTAAAAAAACGATTCTGAAAACGTACCCACCCAAATTCATGATTTTCAACGTCGACTCTGCGCTCAAACTCAGTTTTAGAAACGTTTTATAAGTCTCAAATGAATAAAAATTTGTCCAATATACTACATATTCAGTTCAACCACCATACATTTCCGGTCACTCCCTTTAATTTGTTTTTCTTATAGGATTAAGATTTTTTTTCTCAAAATGTTCAAGTATTTGCGAAAATTATAACTTTGCATACGAATAAAGTACTTCGAACAATTTTGTTTCTTTGGTGTCTTTAAAAGGATTGTAAGCGAATTTTCAAGCAATCCTCCCCAGGCAAACAAGGCAATGCCCGATATATAACCGTATCCGCAAAAGCTTTGTCTGATCATTAATGAATTAGCTGTCAATGCAAAAAAAAATTAAAAACGATAATTTTGATTGTAGCTTCTTTACAAAAAATGACTCCTTTCCAACAATCAAACTTTTAACATTGAGGGACTGAGCTTATTCTTGATAGTTTTAAAATTAGCTATTTTAACTTCTCATAAAGGGTCGTCTTTTGTGTTAAGGTTCAGTTTTGTTTATGTTGCATCTTTTCAATTTTCAAGCAAAATAATTTTCCCGGCTTAAATCTGTTTATATATATTCTACATGTTGATTTTGCTTCGGTTTAATCTAACTTGTATCTCGCTGTAGGTGTAGAGATGGGAATCGTTTTTTTGAACGAATAAAATTTTGAGCTCGAACGAATTTTTTTCGTGAAAAGGGGTGTCGTTAAAAAACGAATAATGGACGAACGAAATGGATCGTTCAAAGAAATGAAAAAAACGTTGTTTTTCGTTTTCAAGAACAAAACAAATAAAGATTTAGAATTGTTTGAACAAAAGTAAAAATCCGATCGTTTTTTTACCTAACGAACGAAATTTTAAAAAAATTTGAAGATTTCTTGGAAGAAAGTTTTTTAAAAACGATAGTTTTTTTAATAAAAAAAAACGATTTTTCGAACACATTTTTTAAAAAATAATTGTTTTTTAACTGAACGAACAATTTTCTTGAGTAAACTAGTCTCTGAAAAAACGATTTTACTGAACGAACGATTTTAATGAAAATTCTTTTAGTGATAAAACAAACGAAATGGAAAATTAACGATAATTTTGAGATTGAACGAAATAAATTTCTTTTTAGCACGATTGAAAAACAGGAACGAAATGGGTCGTTCACGAACGATGAAGAAACGAAATGAAAAAAAGTCGAACGTGCTCATCTCTATGTAGGTGTACTGTATAAACAATTTGAAACAAAAGTAAAGAAATGTTCAACCTGGGTAATAAATATACCATGTCCACCAGAAATATTAATCTAACTTTAAAACATTTTACTATTTTTCCATCGAATTATATTCTTTACAGAATAAGAAAGGGGCTATACGCTAAATCAAATCAACTTTGGATTCGATAGCTACTAATTTAACTTCTATCTAAAGCGTCTATGTTTATGAATTAAGGAATTGAGTCTTTGCCACAAACTCTGATTTTCTAATCCCTATATCTTTGGATTCCAACGTCGTAAACCTTTGAAATTTCAAACTATGACTTTTGTTAGATCAAATAATATAAGTTTGAAATATCAAAGGTTTACGACATTGGGTTCCAAAGATATTGGGATTAGAAAATCAGAGTTAGTGGTAAAGACTCAATTTCTTTGTTAAAAATGTTTAATGCTCAGAACGGAGAGTCCATGTAAATTGCTCTATGAATCGTGTACCAATTAAACTTTAAGATGCGTTGCCCGTGGAATTTTTAAAAAAATCGATCTTTAAAAAAATTCAAATTGATTTTTAGAGAAAAAAGTATACTGATGGGTTACCTCAAAAAAATTCAACCATAGCTAACATATATACAAACAAATATATATGTGTATGAGCAATTCTATTATATAGACTTGTGTAATTATTAGAAGGATTTTAAATTACGGAGACGACATTTACAATCAATTAATCGATCTCCTGAACTCATAATATATCTGGTCGAGAATGCCGCACATCAATCATATTTTATAAAATCCTCGAGTTTACTCGTCTTCTCGTTCTTTTGCATTAACCTCCTTAAAGACGCAAAGGAGAGCTTGAAGACAAATTAGTGGTGATTTAATCCAAAGGAATCATGAGTCTTTGTCGCAAACTCTGACTTTCTAATTCCAATATCTTTGCAACCAAATGTCATAGCCCATAGGTCATAGCTATTTTAAACTCTATATTTCTAAGTTTGAAATATCAAAGTTGTACAATTACACCATCAGGTTGAAAAGCTATAGGGATTAGAAAAGCACAATTTGTGGCAAAGGCAATTAATTCCTTTGATCCACATTTAGCCTGTATCCCCTTATTATTTTTCGCGAACACTCACTTTAAGTATTTTCAATATCTGAACATTCTCTTAATGTGATTTTTGCCTTTAGGCGACATGATTCGAGATCTAATGTTCTTGTGATATTTTTACAAAATATATCAGAAAAGACTTCTTCTGTATAAATGATTTATAAATGATTTTCACAAGTGCATATCTTGACTCAAGTGCACTCAATTTCCTTATGCTTTACACAGGAGGATTCAATAAACTTGGGATTGTAAGAATTCAAGCCAAAAAAATAATGAATTGTTTTGTAATCTTATTGATATGGTTCATCCTCTTATCTTATTATTTATTTTGAGTAGCACTTCCTTATCTGTACGAAGAATTAAACTCAACCAGACCAACAATTCTAAACTAATTAGACCAACAATTCTAAACTCAACTAGACCAACAATTCTAAACTAATTAGACCAACAATTCTAAACTAATTAGACCAACAATTCTAAACTAATTAGACCAACAATTCTAAACTAATTAGACCAACAATTCTAAACTAATACATGAAAACGAAAATACAATCTTTAAAATCTAATGTTCTCGAAAACTGTTTCCCCTGACGGCATATTGGAGAGATTTAAAATTTAAATCCCAGAACAAAAATTCATTTTCAGCTTTACATAAATATATTTCTTGATTTTATTCGTGAACTGATAACAACTTAAAGGGAATGTTAGCTTAATTTCAATTGACCCTCCAGAAAATTATGACAATGCTCGACTCAAAACGTTATCCTTCAAGTATGAATTATATATCAATGTTTGCTATTTGAAAAATGATTTTTTTCTAATGTGGTTTCTCTTACATAAAGTGACTTACGCATTTCTACTAAAGAAAAACACGTAGAAATTGTATAAATAAACACATTTTCTGTTTAGGCTAGTATTTATTTATCTTTCTACTTCGCAATATATTTATTTATCAACACTATCTCTTCCTTCATATTCTTGATGAATTATAATGGATTGAAGAGAGAAATGTTCAATCCAAGATAGAAATACAATTTTCTAAGCTTTTCATACATTTTACTCATTGATAAACTTTTAGCGAGAAAATTTTGCAGAAAGTTTATTATATAAATAAAATTTAATGCATTCCTTTTTAAAGCCTATCTTTAGAAAAATTTGTGAAAATCAAATTTTTGTTTTGATCAAGTCTGTTCTTACTTTATACTTATTAATTTCCCATAATTTTCTCTGTTCAAAAAGAGTTTTATTAATTAAATTAAAATGTTTGCTATGGGTCCTATAGCTAGCCGAACGACTGAGATGGTCATGGATACTTCAGAAGAGAAATAGGCCAAAATTCTTTCTTAAATTTTTTTGATTACTTAGTACACAATTGTTGTAAAATCTTATATTAATCTGATTTTAATTTGAGAGACATGATGGACTAAAGATTGGTTTTTAAAATGATAGAACTATAAGAAACATGATTTGTTTTTTAAATTTTGAATCGATTAAAATATTCCAATAATGCTGCTGTCATCAAATTAAGAAAAGTAGAAAAGAAATATTTTAAATTTTATAAAATTTCGGCGAAATTTTTATTTTATTTTATTTTTATCTTTTTTGGTGAATATTTCATTTTCAATGTTTAATTGTTCCAATAAGGTGATTAATTTTTCCAAAAGAGTTTTTGCTTGCAACAGATTATTCATGACATCGTATTTCTGTATCAATTTTGATAGTTCGACAATAATAATAATATTCTTACATGTACTGCGACAATATGTCACTTGTAATGTACCAATCAATCAATCAAACCACAATGTAAATATTTTATGGGTTATGGTTCTAATTTCTTCTCGTCTATAAACTTTTATATCCTCCTGAGGCCACTGTGAACCATATCCCATAATCTACTCTGTTGTAAGGTCGCCTTTGACAAATTGTACCTCCGCTAGACCCTCCGTTCATTTTCCAAACCAAACATTTTCAAGGTCTCCGCATAAAGTAAACAAAATCCTCATGTAGATAATAAAACTTAAAGTTCATTAAAAGAAACAATTTTAAACATAATTCCAGTGAATCATTTTGCAAACAAACAGTGAAATTCCTTTAACCAAATGAATATTTATTTCAGAAGATTAAATTGCTTTAGACTACAATTCAAACAACTATTCCCATGCTATGCAACTCTAGATCGTAAGTTCCTTATGTTTGATTCACAACAGTACCTTTTAAACCTGCATTTATCGATTCACAATTTCTATTCTATTCTCAATGGTACATATTTCTAAGCCAATTGTTTAATTCACAACAATACCCATTTGTTCATAATTATACCCAACTGTTTAATCTTTATTAACAATCATTATTTATAAACATGTACGTCAATAACAATTTGTATTTTTTTGTAGGAAACCTCGTTCCTGAAATATATTTTCACAATTTCTAAATATCCTTTGAAAAAATCTGACATTTTAAGTTGACTGAATGTCGAACTATTCTCCAAAAGCTCCCCTGAAAGGGACTCTAAACTAATTTTAAGTAACCTTTGATTTAAAGAGGGACCTCCTCGATTTACAATGGTACCCTTTAAAGGTGCAGTGTTCGTTAAAAAATATATTTTTATGCAATAAGTAATAATCAAATATCGGAATTATTCAAGGTTGTATAATAAGGTTAGTTTCTTTCGATGCACTACGAATGTACGGAAAATGTCGTCTCCTAGATAGATAGATAAAAAACCTATTATGACGTCAGTGTAATCAGTGACGTCATATTAGGTTTTTATCTATCTATCTTGGAAACGACATTTTCCGGACATTGGAGCGCATCGAGAGTAACCAACCGTATTATACAACCTTGGTTTTATTTATGTCTGATATTTCTAAAAAGAGGTTGGTTCAACATAATGTAACTTAAATTCTATAAATGATCATTCAGGAAAGTTTTAATTCATAATTCTATAAAAAGAAAGATTTTCATTTTTTGCAAAGTACAATTATTTTTATTTTAAGTTACTTAATATGGACGATTTTAATGATCTTTTCGTAACAAGTATCTACCCTAACGTCTGAAAAATTGTGATTTTCAGCTGAATTGAAAAAATCTCTTACGTGAAATAAGCCAAGAGAAAAGGTAGCTTTAAATTCATTCGGAACATTTTCTCTGAAAATAACAAAAAATTATTATCACTATATGATTTGTAACATTTAATTAAAGCTATATTTAATTAGATACACAGGGGCGGATACAGGATTTAAGTGAGGGGGGGGGGGCAAGATTTTTTAGGAACAAAAAAAATGAATAATGAGGAACAAAAAATCGTGCCGAAGGCGAAATTTTTTTTGACTTAAAAGACTCAAAAAGAGTCAAAATTAATGACTAAAGACTAAAAAACTAGATTTTTTAATTTTAGGAACAAAATTAAAAGATTAGAACAGGAATTTAGGAACAATTAAAAGATTGTTCAGGAATAAGTAACAAAAATAAAGGATTAGGACAGGGATTTAGGAACAATAAACAGATTGTTCAGGAATTAGGAACAAAAATATAAGATTAGGACAGGGATTTAAGGCTGTAGGTATAAAATGCCCCAGTTTTATAAAATAAAAATATATAGTGTCAAGTTCTAAGGTAGTGAGATTCATGAAAAAAATAAAAAGTGAGATTTGAAAATCCAAAACGAGAATACAAAATTTTAACTTTTATTTTTAAACTGTGGTATTGGCGGTAGTGAGATTTCAAAATCCAATATAAAAAATTTCAACTTTTATTTTCAAACTGTGGTATTGGCGGTAGTGAGATTTCAAAATCCAAAATGAGAATATAAAATTAAAACTTTTATTTTCAAACTGTGGTATTGGCGGTAGTGAGATTTCAAAATCCAAAATGATCCCCTGAAGATACATAATTATTCCATTATAGTGAAAATAAAGTCATATACAGTTTTAAAAAGGACATAAAACATGCGCTCGGTCCATGGAAACATACACATAAACATTTCCAAGCTTACGCTAGTTCAAACGATCATTAGTGCGATTGATATGTCACCAAAAATACAGACAAATCAAAAACCGGTTTTTCAAAATTTAGAAAGTGCATCCCTCTTGTCTCTAGATATTAAATAAATCTGAATACTAATACAAAGAGAAGATTAAGCATTAAACTTGAATGAAATTATTAATTTGTGCAATTCTAAAAAGATAATAGACTGATTCCTGCATGTGGCTTTTTTCTAATTCTAAAATATGGACTGATTCCCGTTCATTCGGTTTATCCAATTCCCCTTTCCTGATAAAAAGATTAAAGAAAATACTTTTATTTCCAATAAATGTTTCTGCTTCGGACAAGGGTTTCCTATTCCTGCTAGAGAGTGAAAAAAGACAATTACTTGACAAACCCTCAAAACTTTTAACAATGAATATAAAGTTTTAAATGAAGGGAAATATCGAATAAAATAAAGAAAAACAATAAATAAAACCAAACTGATCAACTTAAATTTTTTTGTCCAAACATTGTTCCATCAAATGTTTTCTAAAGAAACGGAACTGCCTTAAAAATGGACTCATAAAACTAATTTAATTTAAGACTAAATTCTAACGAATTTCACAGCCATGGTCCAAGCGTCGGCCCCAGACGCAGCCCTTGGCCTCTTTGCCCGTTTGGCCGGAGGGCTCGGCTTACTCCGTAGCCTGCGGCGCAACCCGACCTAACCTAAATTAATGTTATGATCAATTTTTTTAAATTTGATTTTTTGTTAAACTATAAAAAAGACGACATTAAATTAGTTTTATGTGTCCCTTTTTTGGAGACATTTCTGTGTTGAGGCGTTTTCGTGTTCAAGCGTGTCCAACACCCAAAACATTTCCCTTTATTATTCAATACTTAAAATTAAATTTTTTGAATAAAATCTTCATTAAAAAAGTGATTTTGCATTCGAACGATTGGGTTCAAAAATCTTGCTCAAAAAAGGCCATCACCTTACATTGTGCGAAACCTTATTATCGATCGCAAATTTAAAAAAAGAAAACTAATTTTTATTTATTTCCCTTTTTATTTGAATTCAAAATTTATAAATTAATTCCAAAAAAAGGAACATGAATGAAATCAAAACTAATTTTCTCAGTCGTCTGCGTGAATTTTACAAAAACAAAAATTGCGCCGTTATTAGCACACATTTGCTATTGCTTTTTGCTAGACATTTTTTGCACATACATAATTATTTGCAAAAAAGTTCCTAGCATCATGATTACTAGAAACTAGAAAACCAAATACTAATGAACATCATGTTAACGTGATAATAATCAAGAAGGTTTAAAACTAAACAATGGGAGAAAAATGTAAAAACAAATTTTAACGAGAAATCAATGATTGCCAATAATTCAACGCACAATCAAGTCTTGTTATCAATATTTTTATTGTTCACTAGAAATCGAGTTTCTAATACATCACAGTTAAATGTAAACAAACCCTTTACCACTTTCCTTAATTACTGTAATCGATTTTAATGCGTTATTACATAAACACATGGTGAAAAAAAGAACACTGTGGAATGTCCTTTAAAATGTTTAAGTTTGTATTTGTTGAAACTTGCAACTAAGGAATTGAGTCTTTGCCACAAACTCAAATTTTTAATCCATTTATCTTTGCAACTTTATGGTGTACATCTTTGATATTTCAAACTTAGACTATTTAATCTAACAGAAGTTATAGTTTGAAATATTAAAGGTCTACGACATTGGGTTGCGAAGATATAGGGATTAGGCAATCAGAGTTTGTGGCATAGACTCAATTCCTTTTTTCTAAAATTGTTAATCGGACACATTAAAAACCGTAGTTAATTTTCAAATAACAAAATCTTCAGTTATAAATAATTCTACATCATCAAAGTACATCCTGTCTGTATAATTGTATTCTTCATGTCCTCAGTCATAGTTTAATCTCTAACCTTAAATCTGTCAAAAATAGCGTAAAAAATATTAATATTTATAATATATATAAATATGAAATACGAACAGTTTTAAAAAATGGAATCCCAAGGTTCCGAAGATAAATATGCAGGTATTTTCTCCTACTGTAAGCGCAATTTCAAGTGACCTTCCATGCAAAGATGATAATGCCTGATTCACAACGGTATCATTGAACATTTTTTCTGATTAAGTATGTTGAAGATAATGTCGTTTTTCTAGGTTTAAATTGTTTATTTCTGTTAATTCCTCTGTTTCCCTTTAAAATGTTAAAAGGTAATTTTTCAAGATTAGAAATTCCCAGCTCGAAGATTTATGGCAAATTCTTGATTTTCCTCGACATTTTCCTATTTTGTTGGATCGTCAAAAAGTTTTAATGTTTCCTGTCATTCTGTTATCACTACAGGCTGCAATTCAGTCAATGCATGGTTTAAACCATTAACTCTTATGTAAAGAGAAACTAACTAAAGTAATCCATTAATTTTTCCATTTATTTTGTCATTTTTCTAGATGTAGAAGTGACTTTTTATCGCCGATTATTCCTATATGTGTTTTCTGTAATATAACAATTGGAAATAATCAGTTTTCAAAATGTTAAACATTGATAGATCTAATTCAAACTTAATCAGCAAAAGATATTTAGGGTACCGTCGTGTATTGGACATTACCATCGTTTACTGGAGGGGCACTTGAAACTATGCTTACAGTCCCTTTCAATCAATTTCCAAATAAAATCTATTTTTAAAAATTGCATCTGGTTCCTTTAAAACCTCGAAGGATGAGTATTTAACAATTTTTTTCGAGTAGATCTTGAAACCATAGAATACAAATATTTTCTGTATTTTGCAAATTGATTTTGGGATTTTCATATTTATCCAATTTTGAAGAAGGTAAATTCTGGATACTGGATAAACAGTGAATAATTTCTTTAAAATTCTTTATTTTAGAAATTCAGCACACTTCGCGCCCCAATTTTTAAAACTCTGACCTGTTTTATTGCTAATTTATATTTAGTAAGGTTATCTGTCGCACATTATTGCACGCAGAATATATTTGGTCGTATAAATCTCGTAAATCAATTTCTTTAAACCTTAAAAATTATTTTAGGTTAACAGTTGTACTAATTGCTTTTTTTCAGAAAATTTATGTTAGAACGAAAAATACGATAATCCCACTGTGGTCACCAAAATTCGATAATCCTAATGTGGTTCCCAAAAATACATTAATCCTACTTTGGTCACCAAAAATACGATAATCCTACTGTGGTCACCAAAAATACGATAATCCTACTTTGGTCACCAAAAATACGATAATCCTACTGCAGTGGTCACCCAAAATACGATAATCCTACTGTGGTCACCAAAAATACGATAATCATACTGTGGTCACCAAAAATGTAATAATCTTACTGTGGTCACCAAAAATACGATAATCCTACTGTGGTCACCAACAATTTGATAATCCTACTGTGGTCACAAAAAATACGATAATCCTACTGTGGTCACCAAATATACGATAATCTTACTGTGGTCACCAAAAATACGATAATCCTACTGTAGTCACCAAAAATACGATAATCCTACTGTGGTCACCAAAAATATAATAATCCTACTGTGGTCACCAAAAATACAATAATTCTACTGTGGTCACCAAAAATACGATAATCCTACTGTGTTCACCAAAAATACAATAATCCTACTGTGGTCACCAAAAAAACGATAATCTTAATGTGGTCACCAAAAATACAATAATCCTACTGTGGTCACCAAAAATACGATAATCCTACTGTGGTCACCAAAAATACAATAATGCTACTGTGGTCACCAAAAATAATGGGATTTTTATTTTATTATAGTAATTGCATTGTTGGCAATTTGTCTATCGAAAAATTTATATTTACATAAAAAAATATCCGTCTTTTTGTAGTTTAGATGTGGATTTTGTTTACAAAGTGTTATGTACCTATGAGCCTGTAAAGACGACCTGAAACATGATCTGAAGGTTAAATTAATTCTTCTGCCTTCTATATATAAATTTGGCTTGTCTGTCTGTCTGTCTGTCTGTCTGTTTGTATCCAATAAACGTCTTTTTTTGTGAAAATCCGCGAATTATTTTTGTTTTGTTTTACGATGTACACAAAGAGAACATGTTCACAATTAATTTAGAAGATGGGCGCGAAGCGCCCTCTAAGGCTAGTAAATTAAACTCTTTTAATGGCTTA